TTGAATCTGTCAATATTCATTCCAAGAAATATTTCAACTCTCACACTCGTGTATCAAACAGACTTCAACAAATTTCATCGAATTGTAAAATCGGATTTTTCGTCTCCATGATAATGGTCCCAAAATCTCGAAATATAGTATGTTTCTATGAAATTCTAGCACCATATTCGATTAAAAGTTGCCCATATCCGTTAAAGGCCTTGCTATAAGCGTTCTACTCATGATATAAACACAAATATAGGAGATCTATTTAATGATATCCGCAGATTTTTGATAGCTCATAGTAGGATTTTTTAGGTTTCTTTGGCATTATTCTATCAGCGCTGAAATCTGATTTCAAGCTGCGGAAAATATGTGGATTCCACTGGATAGAGTACGTCGAGTTCCACTTGGAACATAGGCACGAGAATGGAACTTTGGTCGAAGCGAATATGACCACATTTTACAAAAAAAGAATACCAGGACTTTTTGGATTTTTCAAAATTTCCGGAGTATGGTTCGAAATCTCACCAATCGAAATATACTACTCGATAGGGTATACGAAGTTCTAGCAGTAATATGACTATGGACGTTGGAAAATCAGCTCTAATGAGTCTCGACAGGTTTTACTTGAATGCGATGCTAAATTCACCTACACAATGGTCACTTAATAGTTTTCGCTACGATAGCTTGTGTAAACTATAATCTAAAAAATGCTACTATACTTTAAGAGAACAGCTAGTCATCGTAAACGACCGTTTTCTATGATACCAGCCAGTCGTTTACAGTTACCGTTTATTTACGACGGTTGTTTACGGAGATTTTTCACGATCCTCATTTCCGACTACCGTATTTTATCGTAACACTTCGTTTACGATCACAGTAAACGACTACAAAATACAGTCGCCGTTTTCACCGTGAGTGATAGGTATACGGCCGTTTACGACTCAGGATGATCGACCCGGGTATATATTTTATAATTTGTTTCAATTTATATTGTATTCGAATGAAATTAAAATAATTTATTCGCATTAAAATTACGTCATATATGAATATAAAAATGTGATCTATATTAAAATTCTATTATATATTTTCATGTAAAATGTCATTAAAATTATACTTAACCCTTCATTATGTTCCAAAAGATATTAAAATATTAATTAGAATGAACATTGTAATCATATTAGCATCTTTCTTCAAATTAAGTTTGATTTCAAACTTTTATTTTTATTCTTATCTTTTGAAAACCAAACCAAAATTGAATTAAATTAGAAGAAACCACAAACAATTACAAATATTACAAAAACTAAACATTAACTATATCAAAATGATTAAGCAAATCGCCTTTTTATTTATATATACCGATTACTCCCTACTACAGTACTGGCCAAAATTATAGAACCACGTAACAGAATTCGTTTGTATGAAAAATAAAATTTTTGATGAAGTATTTTCTCTCTAGTATATCAGATTATATAGATTCTTATACGCTCTTTCAGAATACGATACTAAAACTTCATTATTTCATAAAAGTATAAGACAGTAAAATTTTAAAAAAATCGAATGATTTTCATTCGCCAAAAATATAGAACCTCCTAGAGTATTTTACAAAAATTTTACAGTTAACACGGTCAATATTTACTAAATGTTCCACCCAAACGATTTTTTTAATTGATTAATAGGACCAGACATCGAATCGACCAAAATTTTACACTGTAAGCAGGTTATACCACTCCATATTATCTGAACCATTTGTTCCGATTGTGTAACATTGGTTGGTTTCATTTGTGTCAATTTTTTTAATCAATATGATTCCATAGATTTGCTATGGGATTAAGATCGTGGCGATATCGCTGGCCATTCCATAACTTTAATACCTTTATCTTGAAGCTATTTCATGGTATATTTAGATCGATGCGGTGATGCATTGTCATGCGTGAACATCCATTGTTTGTTGGATGAGTCGAATGCGTTTTCAATAAACGACCCAGGTCGTTCCTGCCCGGCCGTAAACGGCCGTACACCAATCATTTACGTTGAAAAACGGTATTCGTTTACAGTGGCCGTTTACGGCAGTCATATACGACGTTTTACGGTGTATTACGATAATCGTAATCAATGACCGTAAACGTTCGCCCTTTACGACAACCGTGAAAATACGGCGGCTGTAGACGACACTCATATACGAAGTTTTACGAGGTCTTACGTTCATGGTAACCAGTGAACGTAAACGTTCGACTTTTACAACTACCGTGAAAATAGAGTGACTGTAAACGGCATTCAAAATGTGCGATAACACGGGGAAACAAACTGATTTCATTAGGCGAAATCAATCGAAATCGCATGAAATCCGACGAAATCATCGAAATCAGTAGAAATCATGGATATCATTGGAAATCATTGGAAATCATGGAAATCATCAGAACACAAAACGGATTATTTGAAATAGCTAAAAATTATTCGAAATCATTTCAAACGATCTGAAAGGTTTCAAGTAAATTAGCCTGATTTCACATGATTTTTTTCATTTCTTAAACTTTCTGTCGATTCCCACACAGTCCGGGCGATTTTTGATCATTTCTAATTATTTCTACTGATTTCTCATGATTTCTACTGGGCTTGATAACTTTTTGGCGCCATTGAAAATCTTGAGGGTGGCGATGTGGGTGGATCTGGGTAAAACCGCTATTTTCCGTTAATCCACATTCGGACTCCCACACCCACACCCCACACCCTCAATACTTATTTTCGTTCTTAGTTATTCAATTCAGGGATAGATTTAAAATCCAAAATCCAAAAACTGAAATCTGATTTATCTTCGATTTCGCGTCGCGCAATCATTCACCTTTTTGTTTCGCTCGAGGACTTCTACATAGAGGCAGATTTTCCTTCGCTGTTAGCTCTTTAGTTGAGGGATAGATTTAAAAGCCGAAATCAGATTTATCTTCGAGTTTTTGTCGTCGAATCTTCGTTTGACCACTTTCCAGATTCAAGTCAAGTAACATGTCCACGATTCAGCTTGTTTTCCGGTTTTTCCCTAAATCCCTGTTTATGTTCCTGCGAATTCCTATTCCTACTCTCTCAGAAACCACTTGGTTTTCAAGTCGAAAGGTAATGTCTTTTTGACCCAGAAATGTAATCTTTCTCAAATCCAAGTGGAATCGTTTTGAGATCTTTTTGAAATCTTATTGAAATCTAAATGAAATCCATGTCAAATCCAAATAAAATCTTTTTGAAATCCAAATGAAATCTTTTTGAAATCTAAACGAAACCCTTTTCAAATCTAAACGAAATCCATTTCAAATCTGAATAAAATCGTTTTGAAATCTGAATAAAATCGTTTTGAAATCTGAATAAAATCGTTTTGAAATCTGAATAAAATCGTTTTGAAATCTGAATAAAATCTGTTTGATTTGCAGGCGAAGGCATCGAGAATAACGAATGGAAAACGGCCGTTTACTTTGATGTACGGTAGTCTTGGTGGTCGTAAACGGCTGTGTATGTTAAGATACGGCGATTCTCGTTGTCGTAAACTGTCGTTTGATTCAAAATACGACCGTGTCACGGCACTGCTTTTAACGTTTACGGTAGATGGGTTTCACCGTTTACGTCACGGTGGGTTACGGCCGTAATACGGGGCATACCAAACGGGTTATTTACGGCCCGTATACGGTCGTAACTCTGACGGTTACGGCCGTTTGCGGTATCGCGCACGGCTGTTTACGGCCGTTTACGGCCACTGTAATGTTCGTCCTGGGGATGTTAAGGCTTCTTCGATGATCTTAACATATGCGCGTCCATCAACTTTAGCAGAATATATGACTAATAGACCTCTAGCACCACCTGCCACACGCCCCCAGACGCTAATGCTACCTCCACCACCTTGTCCCTTTGGAACAAAATTGAAGGGTTGATCAGCTTCTGATCGTAGACGACGAACGAATGTACGATTCTTTCTGTGTTGCATTTAGAAGTGTGCCTCGTCACTCCAAATAATGTTATTCCATTCCTGAGACTAATATTGATGTTCACGTGGAAACAAAAATCGTTGTTTCTTGTAAGCAAGTGTTCTTAGTGTTTTCTTTTTTGCTTGATAACTTTTGTAGCCCATGTCTAGCAATCGACGACGAACGGTTCGAGCACTCAAGTATTTACCATTTGACAGTATCAGTTCAGATGATAATATTTGACTCGATTTGGTTCGACATTTCTTGCATAATCGTAGCAAATTTCGATCATCAATTGGTGTTGATACTTTTTTACGGCGTTGAGTTATCCCAAATTCCAATGATGTTTTAATTTCGATTTTCTTGTTAAGTGGTATTTTGGCTCGACCGATCACAGGTGCTTGTATAACCAATAGGAAAACAATCACTAGTATTTGATAGAATTGGGATTAAATACATACAATATATTCTTATAGCAGTGAACAGATACGGAGTCGGAGTCGCAATGAAAACTTATAATGAATTCTTATCTTTTTGGTTTCCGATTTTATTTTTAGTGATCAAATCTATTTTTCGAAGAAAAAATACTGTTTATTGTTTTAAAGAGAGTAGTGTAGTTTGATATTCATTCACCAATAATTTTATTGATGATTTGTGCTACCGTATTCAAAAAAACACTGTTTTCACTTTCATAACTTATGAAACATGACAACAAAAAAGTAAATAATATTAGCATTTACAATAGATAAAAAATAAACTAGTCAAAACAACATCCTCTATGATAAGAGTCATCCATATCTTCCTCTTCCTCGACATCAATGCAAATTAGTTTTGGTGCTGTACACGTAGATTCTTCAGAAGATACTGTAGCTGTAGACGATATTGATACAGTTCTCTTTCTTTGAACATCGTAGATTGATAATTGTTATAGTGTTTCAAGATTTTTTTGTCTGTGATAATATCTTTTACTGCTGAAAAAAGACGTTCTACGATGATGTTTGAGGCAGGTATTGCACAAATAATTTTTGGTAATTTTGCTAATTGAGGAAAAGTATGCCGATTTTCCTGCCAAAATTATAGTATATCAATATCATCTAAATCATCATCATTGTGAGGAATATCGCTGCGCTCAGTATTTAAATAGTTTTCAATTTCTTGATACGAATTTGATGATTGGGGTTGATTAGTAAGTTTCGAATCAAAACATTGTGTCAATAAGCTCTTTCGTTTTGGCGTAGTTGCAGTCGTTGATGTTTGTGAAGGGTTTGCATTGTTGTTTTGTGACACATTTGATGCAATCTTTTGCGTTAAAGAATTATTTAATTCAAGTTTGTCATATTCGTGTTTTAATACATCTATTGACCTTTCTTTTGCATCTCTACAAAACTCGAAATTCTTCAATTTCGGATGCAGAATAGTGGCTAGGCGATGGTAGTCATTGTACCAGGCATTTTTTATTCGTCGTGCTAAAATTATGAAAATACACATCAGAAACTAAATTCGAAAAGTTTTGAGTTCATGTTTTTACCTAAAAAGGACTTCAGTTGCATAATTACAATTGAATCCGTTTCTTTTTGATAGCAGTGTTCAATCAAACACTGCCTATGCGGCATTACTCGACGAAGGCAAGGTTGTCGATATTTACTTAGAGCATTAATTACGTCTTGAAAAGGCTCGAGAAAATTACAAATATCATCAAGCAAATCCTTTTCAATGGCGTTGTAATTTTCCATGGCACTACTATTGATTAATACTTCTGGTAAATTTTGCTACATTTCACGAAAAATATCCAACATAATTATTGCTCTAGAAAAACGTGTTTCACTATAATTTTGTAATTTGTGAGGCAATTTTTGTTGTTTATGTGAATGTCTAACAAAAAACACAATTTTTTTTACATGACCAAAAACAGTTTGAGCTGATTCGCAGCCAACAGCGTCAAATGTACTTCTGTTAGAATGTATTTTTTCTGATTGAAA